AGACCTTTGTCTCTGCAAGTGACGAGGCCTGGACTGTGTCAGCAGGGTGGGTGGTCAAGACGCAGGTCAAGAGATGCCAAAGAGAAAGCTGGAAGCTAAGTTGGGGGAGGACAAGGACAAAGTGGAAACCATGAGAGCAGCCTGGAACCCACATGGACAAACTGCCCCATGTATCTGTTTCCCCCTGTATGGAACCCCAAAGCTGCTGTGCCCACCCCCCCCCCCAAGATGGAACTGGTGCCCTTTGAAGCTGTGTGTGTGCCAAGACTAGACTCAGAGAACCTGAGGTAGGAGAAAGAACAGGAGCTGGAAAAGCTGTGAGCCCAGCTCCTACCCCACCTCCAGCTGATTAGCAACAATGTACCCTACCTGCCTGGGGTCCTACCCTCCCCTGCCTAGAGCAAGGGCTGCAGCTGCTCTTCCGCCCTCAAAATCTCATGAGATCTCTCAGGGGCCAACCATTCAGAGAAGTCTCATTCCAGCTTAGCTAAGCTGACATAGCACAAAATTACCACAGAGATAGACAATCACTGAGATATTTTTAAAAAATTTTTTTAAAGAAGAGAAAAGAAAAGAAAGAAACATGATATAATTCAAACCTTTCTTTATAAAGACATAAAAGCTGGATCTCAGAGAGACTCAGGGCTTTGTCCAATGTCACAGAGCTAGTGACAGGCCTAGAAAGAAGCTCAGTCCCATGTGTATTCATGTGGGTGGTATCACAGAAAACACTGGATGTGAAGTTAAGATGCCTGAGATTTTGTAACTAATTATTTGGTCTTGGGGGGGGAGGGAAGCACTCAGTTATGGATGCAGGTTTTCTTTTCATTTTTCTTTCTTTTTTTTTTTTTTTTTGATGCAGGTTTTCTTGTGAGAGAATGACACATGGACTAGGTCCAAGAAATTAGAGGTGCTCAGTAACTATCTCTTAAATAGATGAGTAAATATAGTCTCTCAAGAACCACCATTTTATGGGACACCTGGGTGGCTCAATCAGTTAAGCATCCACCTTGGGCTCAGGTCATGATCTCAGGGTCCTGGGATCAAGTCCCATGTTGCGCTCCCTGCTCAGTGGGGAGTCTGCTTCTCCCTCTCCCTCTGCCCCTACCCACCCTGCTTGTGTGCTTGCTCTCACTCTCTCTCTCTCTCTGACAAACAAATAAAATCTTGAAAAAAAAATTTAAATAATAAACAACCATTTTTCAAAATTGTTCTGTTGCCTAACATAAAAGAGAAATTGAAAATATGATCCTGAGCCTTAACTGTAAGGCATTCTTACATATTCTCAGGTAATTTATCGGGGATAGTATGGATCACCAGGCTCTTTCCCCTTTACATAAATCAGATTTCTAACTTCTCAGCCATGTACCCAGTAGACTTTCTATGTTCTTCTTCTTTTTTTTTTTTTTTCAAGATTTCATTTATTTATTTGACAGACAGAGATCACAAGTAGGCAGAGAGGCAGGCAGAGAGAGAGGAGGAAGCAGGCTTCCGGCTGAGCAGAGAGCCCGATGCGGGGCTTGATCCTAGGACCTGGGATCATGACCTGAGCCAAAGGCAGAGGCTTTAACCCACTGAGCCACCCAGGCGCCCCTTTCTATGTTCTTCTTATCACCCCATTGTGGCTTTTACTTGATCTTGATCCATTCAGTCTGAGCCTTTCAAGAGAGATGACATGCTATAGAACTGGAAAAGCAAGAATCCAAACAATTGGCAACAGGAAGAAACCAGAATAATATCAGATTTCTGGCTATGTATTTCTGTTTTGTACACAACTCTACAATTTGGGCAGAGTTCAGTGGGAACAGCTGATCTCTGTTCCATGTGGCACCAGCCGGGGTAGCTCAAAAACCAGAAGGTGAAATCATCAAGAGGCTACTCACTTTCAGTAAGGCTATTGGCTAGAACTTGAACAAATGGGTTCTCCATGTCGTCTCTCTGCTTCCTCATGGCGTGAAGGTTGGGCACAAGAGCAACCCTCCCCAAAGGACCAGCCAGAAACTGTATCACGTTTCGTGACATGGACTTGAAAGTCACATAGTATTTCTGCCAGAGTTCCAGACAAGCCTAGATTTAAGAGGAGGCATTATAGATCCTATTTCTCAACGAGAGGAGTATCAGCGTTACAGTTTAAGAGAGTCTGAGGGACAGGGTATCTCATTGCATGCCATCTTGGAAAATATCATCTACCACAAGCAGTGATCAATATCCATTATGAGTTTATAAACACAGAGCTTGTCAACTAATGGAGCTCTTTTCCAACAATAACCCCAGAGAGTAAGTGTATACACACATCTATAAGTACATTTACATATGCATACGTGAAAGTACTTGGCAAGTGAGGGTTAATTCTTAGATTCGATCTGCTTCCAAGATATTTTCAGTGTGATGCCTCAGGGTCAGGGCAGAGAAATGGGCCACTCAACTAGTTTAAAATAAAAGTACTTTCCCCCCAGCATCCATCTACTCTCTGGGAAAATAAATCAGGCTGCTAAATTTTGGACTCTTACTATTTCCATGGTAACAAAGCCTAAAACGCTAAAAGGTGGATTAAAATTCTTTACAATATTTAAGAAATCTGTATGTCGTTTCTGTGATGGTTGAAAGTTCACTTAACAGCAATGAGTAGCATTACTATCACTAACCCTCCCCCCTGCAAACAGACACGCAGGCAACAGGAGTGTTTTTTAAAATCCCGTTAACTTATACTGAGTGACCATTAAGATAGGGAGACATGAGTAAAAATGAGACTGTCCAGTTTGGTCTCCTTAGATCTGCTTTGAATCAAATTTTCTTGTATTGATTTTGATCTCGATTAGGTAGCTTTAGAAATAATCTGACCATTTGAAACCTGGAGAAAAAGTCAACCATCATAGGTACAGAAATATGAATAATTATGGTGTTTGGGAATTACAAATGGTTTAATACAGCCAGAGAGAAGAATATGTGTAACACAGAGTCTTATTTTTGGTGTTAGGACTTTTAATTATAAAGAGAATTATTCAAATAATTATTATTTGAAAAATACGCAGGAAAGTATAGAAAATAATATACCACGTACCTACCCCCATAGTTAATAGCTTTTACTCATTTGCTAGATTTTTCTCAAATCTCTTTTCTGAAGTTCATGTGTGACATTTCTAGGTGTGTTTCTGTATATGGATGCTCATGAATGAATCCCTACACTTTTTTATCTTTGTGCTTTAAAAACTTGTACAAATGGCATTATAGAGAAGACATTTTTTGTACCTAGTTTCTATTGCTCCATCATTGTGATTTTTATCTTTAGCTACAGGGCATAAACACACCATAAGGAGAGCAAAGACGAGCATTCAGTATTGCGCAGATAGCTAATCATTTGTTCAACTAAATTTGTATTTCACCCGAAGAGTGAATTGATGGTGACAGCTTTTGCATTTGTAGAAAATGTTAATGATATGCAGAAAGGACTGGACACCAAAAACTCAAGTGAATATAGGGAAAAGAAAATAAGGTTTATTTGCAACCCTGTCCTTCCATATCTGAAGACCAGATGCTTTCTCTTATAATCCACCCTTTGGGGGGAGGATTACTGGGGCTGCGTGGTATTTGGTGATGAGAGCGAAGAAGTCTAGCTACTGTCTGGGAGGCAGCCTATCTGGACCTGTGCAGAGATCAGGGAGCCACGTCTCTGAGCTTCCAACGGGGAGCCCTGACCATTCCTTGTGTCCTAGCCCTCCCTGCCTGACCATCCCTCTCCTGCTGGACACTTTGAACTTGCCTAGTGTGAATCTGTTTTCCACAGGCTCGGAGAGCTGCAGGGCTAGGTGGATGACATCCATTTGGGTTCATTCATGTCCTGCCACATGCGCACCCCACTTCTATTCCCTGTTGCCCTGAGAAATGCCTATCTTTTTTTTTTTTTTAAAGATTTTATTTATTTTTTTGACAGAGAGAGATCACAAGTAGACAGAGAGGCAGGCAGAGAGAGAGAGAGGGAAGCAGGCTCCCTGCTGAGCAGAGCGCCCGATGCGGGACTCGATCCCAGGACCCTGAGATCATGACCCGAGCCGAAGGCAGTGGCTTAACCCACTGAGCCACCCAGGCGCCCGAGAAATGCCTATCTTGATGTTCTATTCAATTACCAGTTGCCATTTGATAAATCGGGTAATTTTTAAGTTTTTGTAGATTGTTAAAATAGAGCGACTAAAGGGATGTTTATTTTAAAGACATGAAATGGGGTCACTGATTTAATATCAGATATACGTGAGCTAGCTATTAGATACACTCCATCTCTCTTCTCTGTTTACTATACTACTCTCCAAAGGTCTCAAAGAAACACCTTATGTAGAAAAGCTCTCCCAAAACAGGAAAAAGGGACAACACACCTGTTTTGCTTTTGAGGTGGCACTAACTTACTCAGTAATATCTACCAGGTTAAAGTTCTATTGACCTCATGTCGCTGTCAACTAATTATATTTTACTTCTGTTGCATTTCTGAGTATGTTAAGCTAAAAGCAAGTGACTTTCATGCAAATTAAACTGCAAGAAGCTTTTTAGGCTGTGTTCAAATACTAACAGGTTTGATAAATTTATTTGTCTAAGATGGGTAGGACAAAGAGCTCTTCATTTACTGACATACTTTATTGTCATTCTGCTATACACCTCTCATATGGTTATTTTATAAGACATAAAGTCTAGGTATCCTGTCGGAATCTCCAATCTTATTTATAGCTTGCTGCAAAGTGGCTTATTGTCATTTATTATTTCCTATTTGATTTATATAACATCTTTCCACCAAAGAGTCCATGGGCTCATTTACATAAAGAATGCACACACACACCCCAGCTGACACGCGCACTTGAACTTCACTCAACACTGTCACACAGCAGTAGAGTACCAACAATCTACAGGCGGCTTTTCCACCTGGTTTTAGCTCCAAAACCACGTTCTGGAATATTTCTGATATTCCAAGGTCACCATATTTCCTTTCACTTTGAGTATTTATTGTTTGCCTCTAGGTGGATCGGATCATCTTCTGTGTCTTCTTAGAAGTTGACTTCAAAATCTACAAAAAGAAAATGAGCGAGTTTTTCCCTGCAGGTAAGTAAAGAGATTTGTTTTCTTTGGAATTGAGGATTGGAGTGGAGGCATTGGTTGGTTATATTCTATTTCATTTCCTAGCTTGAGGAAATGTTGCATATATGATCTCCATATACCAGTAACCTGTGGCAGCTTGTGTCATAATTTTCAAGAACTCAAGGAGGTGACAGGAAATCTAAGCCCATGACCTCTCTGTCCCAGGAGGTCATAGTGTTGTCTTGGGGAGATCAATTCATCTCTTGAGTCTCATCTTCTCATATCAAAAGTGAGGGGCTGGACCAAATGACTTCTAAAGACTTCCTCTGGCCCTTAATTACAGAATCTGTGATTTATTCCCCACACATCTAAGTTGTCCAAGCCTGTGCCTACTTTCCGATCCACCATGTTAAACAACTTTGTTGGAAATTGTGAGAAGCCCATTTATATTCATAGCCAGAATTCAAACATTTCCTACCTTCTCTGCCTATCACCCCGATTTTCTCAGCCCAAATTGCAGTGAAGATAGCAGCCCTTCCTAGGGCAATCTGCAGAAGGTGCTCATTCATTGTAATTCACATTTGAGAATGTAGGCAAAATCTCAGTTACTAAAGAACCTTGTTTACGTTGATGGAATGTGTCATTAAATTTGGTTGACCTGGTTAATTGAATATTGCCCCCCATGTTCCTCTTCTGGGCTTATTTAATACCTAGTTATTTTTATGGTGCCATTCAAGTCACAAACTCAAGGTGCTTTCCTCAGCCATGGTAAGAATGGCTTCCAGGAAATTTCAAGCTACTGTGAGCATTGTTGGTGCCTGCCTTAGAGAGAGCTTTCTTTTAAGGTTTCCATATCCATGGAAGTCAAGAGGTTTTCCATGTACCCAGTGACTCTGGCAGGTGGGAGGGAGGGAGTGCAGCACATTCATCCTCTTGGCAGCTGGTCCAAGCCATCCAGTAAATGTAAATCCAGGATGCCCTGCCTGAAGATCAGAGTAGGACACAGTAGCTGTCAAGAAGAGCCACAGGAAATGGCTAGAGACGTTCAACTTTGTGCTAATGTTCAAGGTGGACTAAGTTCCCCTGAGTCATGTGAAGTTCTGCTCTCTAGTTTTCTCATTGAAAGGTGAATCTGCTAAGTGTATTTAATTGGAGCCTTTAACTACAGTATTTCCCTAACTAGGACATACTGTAAATTCAAAGAGACTCCCCATGTGATGAAGGAGAGGATTGTGATTGTGGCCTTTTTTTCCCCCCATCCTTTGCCTTCTCCCTTCTCCTTTTTTTACCTTTAAAGAAAATCTTTTTAAGCAACTCAGTAATTTATAGCATGTAAAGCACCTAGGGACTATTGAGTAAGTAGTTGTTAGTATGAGCTAAATTTAAAAATTTCTTTGTACTTTGAAGTATTCTTAAAAGAAAATGTTCATTCATGAAAAAAATGTGACTTGCCATGGTGTGCGATGCAAGTATTCTCGTATCTTGTCAATATCACAGCAGATTTCATACACTTTCATCATTTTGGACTTCTTGAATGTATAGAAATTATGATGTAACTTTCATTTTCATGTCTTCTAAAATAAAAACTGTTTTTTGCTCTAGCATATGATAAAAATAATTGCATAAGTATGATCAAGTGATATTAAAACAAACCTATCCATCAGCAGATATTTCCAGTGGTGCAAAGCCAAAAATCATATTATACATTTATTCTAAGTGGAACAGTTTTAGTGGTCTGGAATGTATTAATAATTATGAAAATAAATTATTTGAAATATTGCTACTCAAAATAAATCCAGCATTCATCTTAGTACTTGAGCAAATTAAATAATAATAAAATCATCTTGAGCTTCATATCAATACTTTGAATCATAGCATGCTCATGAAATTATTTCCAGTGCATATTTATAATAGTAAGCACATTTTTAAAGTAAATGTCAAAATTCCTCCAAATTGTTGAGTATTTCCATGATGCTGAAGCATCAGCCACTTATAAATTCTGAATATGCAATATGAAATAAAGGTGACTTTTAATGGAATGTGTGATGACTAATATAGATGATATACATTATCTGTCCATAATTTGAATTTATGGTTAATTCATGACCATACCATCTTTGATTGGAATATATTTTTTCTGACTTGCCATATATCCCCCCCCAGACTGGCTTATTCAGACCATCTCTAGTCTTCTTAACACTTCCCAGTGCAATAATAATAGTTTAGGAAAAAAAGTCATTTTATATTAAACAAAATCTCTGTATTTTAGGGTATATTAATCCCACATCTTTACATTTCATAATCAGGAATCTAAGACAAAATGTATTAAAAAATATACAAGTGAGGCTAGATCGCATTCAAGGTATAACACATGCAAAACTACTACCTAATATTCGTGATAGGAGTAAAAGCTAACATTTATGGATTGCTTCCTCTCAGCCAAATGCATGGGCAAAGTCAAGTAATCTTCAGGCTAACTCTAAGAAAGTAGGCACTATATTAACCCTCCTTTTTGATATGGAAAATGATGCATACCTGAGAAAATGAGGCATATGGCTAGGAAGCAACAGAGCTCTATTTCAAAATTGAGAACAACATCTGTCATTGCACAAGTGATAATAGGTTCGCTTCCTCAGAGCGTCATCTCCAGAAAAGCGTGGTTTTAACTTCAAGGATACATTTGGAGCACTATGAAAGTCTCATTGCTAATGTCATTTACTGCCCATCATTGTTCAGAGCTGACACACTTCTCTTCTCATACCTGTAAATGTCCTCATAGAAACTGTCTACTCTGAGTCAAATTGGTACTTTATTATGGATCTCAAAATCAATCCCAAACCCATCATCTAGGCACTGCAGTGCTTTGACCTGAAGGTGAGCAGTAAAGTGGTCACTGGAAAGCCAAAAGGCCTTACTCATGACCACAAGGGTAAGCTGGAGAAGTGCTTGTAATAGTTTGCTGGAGCTACCATGACAAACCACCACAGACTGGGAAGCTCAAACAACTGAAATTTATTTTTTCACAATTCTAGAGGCTCAAAGTGCAGCATGTAAGGGTCAGCGGGATTGGTTTCTCCTGAGGTCTCTCTTCTTGGCTTACAGATGGCTTACATCTTCTCTCTGCGTCTTCGTGAAGTCCTCTCTCTGTGTATGTCTGTGTCCTAATCTCCCTCTCCTTGTAAGGACAGCAGTCATATGGGATTAGGGCCAACCCTAAAGACCTCATTTTAATTTGATCATCTATTTAAAGACCCTATCTCCTAATATAGTCACATTCTAAAGTATTGGAAGTTAGGACTTGAACAAAATATTTTGGGGGACACAACTCTACCCTTACCAGAGCCCATCATGGAAAGCAATCATGTAACCATAAAGAAACCAGCAAGAATATTTTTTCCAACAGTTTTATATCTTGCTGTGGGTGAAGCATATTTGACTTTTTCCTTCCCAGATGTTTTCTTTGAAAGTCTAGTGTGGCAGCTTTATGGAATTACCATACACTTTGGTTACAAATTATTTACAGTTACACTACACAATTAGATGGCCTATGGCAAATAATATTTGTATGATTCAACTCAGAGATCTCTTTGTTCTTTACATAAAAGATTTATATTTTTCAGTATGTAGGATTTATTGCATGTATTTTTCAGATTTGGAATATGGAGGTCAATTTTTTTTTTTTTAGAATCTAAGTTCTAATAGAGAATTTAGGGATATTAATTTACCTCATAATAACAATGTCAAATTTACAGTTTTGGAACTATATCAAAGAATCCTGATGTTGGAAATAAAAAATACCGTGGTCAGGCCCCTCCCTACATTAGGGAAAGCCTACATTTGTTTATCGCAATGGTTCTCAACTACATTTTTCAGGGAGTATTTCTCCAAAGTAATTTTTTTAATTATATCTTCTGACAAATGGGCATGATATTTTTAAAAAATTTTATCTGGATTTACTCTTTTAAATCTAACAAAAGAAAGTATTCACCTGACCTCTTCTTCATCTCCTCTTCTCATTGATTTTGTAAGCTTTTCTCATCCAACATCATTCATGATCCTTTCTGTCCATCAATCAGCAAATAATTTATTATATGCCTACTATATACCCAAGGCTCTGTCCACTGCTGCATTGAAAATACTGTTCTTATAATATGCCTGAGAGGTAAATATATGCAGAACAAATGGAAGACAATACTAGCAAGTAATCAAGTATAGCATTGATATGGTCAAAGTACTCAGGAATTCTGAGACAAATATGTCTGAGGACCAGGGTAGTTGTGGCGAGTTTCATGAAGAATGTGTACTTTAAGGTTAAGCAGGAACAGAGAAGTGATGCCAAGGATTCTGTAAATAACAGAGAGGAAGGGCAGTTCAGATGGAAGGATTTGTGGAATAAGTAGGATACTTATCTCCAATTAGTGATCCCTGACTGAGAAATGCTGACACTCATCAGCATGTAATTGTATGACTTTGTGCATGTTGCTTAACCTTTTTATGCTTCACTTTCATCATGTGCAAACACAGTAATGGGCCAATTCCAAATAGAATAAACAACAAATGTAAATGAATATTCAGAGAGGTATCTAGACTGAACATCATAAATTTTAAAATATCCATGTTTATTTCTTATTACAAATTTTTTTTCGTGTTTTTCTTATAATTTTAAAAGGAGGGATTTTAATTATTGTGACCATCTTAATTAAAAAGTATATAACTTCTTATTACAAAAGTAGTACAGATTTATATAGTAAGGTTCCTAGTTCTTTTCAAATATATGTTTCAGGGAGTTTCCCATTTTGTCATTTGTCCTTGTGGTATTATCCCTTTATAATCAAGTCAATGAGGAACCATAGAGAAACAAAAGAAAGGTGAAAGAGAAATGTAGAAATAGAAAGAATGAAAGGAAGGAAAGAAGAGAGGGGGAAAGGGTAGATGGAAGGAAGAAAAGAATAAAGTAAAAAAGAAAGAAAAAATCCTTTTTATTAGAAAGTGAAGTTGAAAACTAAAACTCAAAAATTACCTTT